TAACTAACTAACTAACTAACTAACTAACTAACTAACTAACTAACTAACTAACTAACTAACTAACTAACTAACTAACTAACTAACTAACTAAAAGCTTTCTTACTGCAGCTACGCATCACAGCTTTTCATACCTAAGGCTGTCAATAGAACTGAACTGAAGTGAAGTCAGGACTGAGAAACTTGTGCCTTTTTTATTTATTTATTTACTTTTTTATTTTTTTTATTTTTTTTAGATTAACTTGTGCCCTTTTTAACTTCAGGAGTTATTTCAGTTGATTTTCTGACTTGAAACATCTGAATACAAACAAAAGAGCACCAGCATCAAGGTGGTATTTTTTTTCTTTTAATTCTATTCAAAAATAGCTACATGTATACTGTGTGTCTCCAATAAACTGAAACTAAAAGAACAAACAAACTGAAATTAAAATTTACTTTAAAAAGTGCTCTAACAACCGATTCAACTGATATTTTGCTTCATGACAAGAATCAAAGTAAATTCAGTTCAATTACCACCACTACATTAAATAACACTATTTTTKTACTGCTAAAATCTATTTTCTTTTTACTTTTGTTAAATGGAAACATGAGAAATGTTCTGAGCTAACAGATATTCTTTTTGATTCACCAAACTAAATGGATACTATCAAACAGTATATATTTAGTGCTCATTAATAGTCATCCTTACTCACAATTAACTATTTAAACAAAATCTCATTAAAGGTGTGGATCAAACATTAACACATCAGACTTGTTTTTTTAAACTGAATTTACAGACACAAAATGACTAAAACTCATCTCTCTTCCCTAAATTAAACTTTAATTTTTTTTAAATATGGCTTCTTGTTATGTAAAGTCATGCCCTCATGGTGTGTTAATGACTATTCCTCCATTAAAAACTAACCCTAAATGTGTTTGAAGTCAATAAAGTGCAAGCAGAGTGTGAAAAGCATGTGAAACGGTTAAATATGGAGTGGATTCAGAAATAACTTTCACTGACTTTTTAGGATTTGTTCACCCCCTGGTTGGTTTGAATTCTGTTAATATACAGTATGTAAACTATAAAAATGCGTTTAGTCTTACAAAGGTTTTGGTGATTACGGTTTAAAGACCAATTGTTTGTGAAAAAAGCTCAGGTGGTAAAAGTTTTTTTTTTTTTCATCAGCCAGTTACTGTCATCAGTTGCTGAGATGAAGATTTTCTGTCCACATGATTTTGTGACGTTAGAGATCAGGTCAGGCTCCAGGTGCTTCTGGAACTGCATTTTTACCACTTTATTACTGTTTAATTGTTTCCATATTTAGAAATATCATTAGATCTTTTACGTAACCAGGGATTGTACAAATCTGTAAATGGGTTGAGAGACAAGTGGTTGAATATTTTGTCACTACCAGTTAAATCGATCGTTTCTATCACTTTTCTTTCTACACCTCTGATCTGGACAGAAGAGACTGTTAAGCTGTTCTCAGACCTGTTTAAACATTCAACTGTCTGTTAATAACAGACCAACAGGGTGACCACACTTTAGTCATTTTACATGTTGGAAAATAATTAACATTGTTGGCCACTGTCAGTTTATTTTTTTTTTACTGAATTACAGTACTGTTCTGCAGTAATTATGCAAAAGTTTAAACTACAAAAAGTTCAGAGAGCAGCCTTAAAGTTAAAGGATAGTTCAGCTATTCAGAACTTGGGTTTCGTGGAGAGATTAGGAAGAARTAATCTCCCACCAGCTGTAGATAACTCTTTGAGCGACATCATACTGGAGTTTAAACTTGAAAAACCAATGAGTCAACAGCTGCTCTACAACCAAGGTCAGAGTGGATTGCTGTTGTTTTAAAACACCTAAGTSTCAAACATTTTATAGCAATTTCTGCAAACACTTTTTAATAAACATTTACTGTCAGCTTTTTTAATACAAGTGTTTGAAAAATCTGCTACAATTGATGATGACAGGATTCCACTTTGATGTTGGCTGCTTCCCGACGAGCTCATTAGTCTTTAGATTTAAACTTTATTTCTCCAAAACTCAAGACATTCAAAGATTTATTTGCAGCAGATAAATACACTGTCTATAGTTCTTCATATCATTTACACAAAACTGCTCTTCAGATAGTCTGAGCTGCCCCTTTAAACTACCAACTGCAACATGAAGAAACTTTAACTGCAGTGTTGGGCTGTGGGGATGTACATCCTACAGCTTTAAATAACCTTTATGTGATTTCTCAGTATTTGTTTGGGCACTTTRGAAATTTCACCTGTTGTCTGCCACAGGTAAAATAAAATCAATAAACAGAAGATAAAATAACCATAAAATGCTGAAAACAAATCAAAAGCAGTTAGGAGAACTGAAAAGCAAATGGTTAGCCAAACAAACAAACAAAAAAAAAAAGTTAAAGGAAGCAAAAAAATAAAAAAAAATTCTTGGACCTTCACTCATGCACTAAATCTAAACAAAATAAAAATCAGAAATTAGTGATTAAATCAAATATGTGGGGAAAGAAATTAGTCTGAAAATGCATTTAAATGAAAAGAAGTCAGAATTCATTGATCAACRTGTGTTTAGGTATAATTATATCAACATTTCTTTCTATAACTACGATCCTTTTTGTTCAGAATAAAATGTAAATATTTACATTGATTTTAAATATTGAGCCAACTCTTTTGGGTCTAACCAGTCCAGGTTGTACAGCTTTGTCTTGTGACATAAATCTTTCATGTACTTACCTCCCTGCTCATCCAGCATAACCAAAGTCCTGATGCCGGCATCTTTGCTCTAATTTCCCAGAAACAGCCAGATGAACCAAAGAAACGGGAAAGTAAAACAAAACAAAGTTCAGTAATGAGGCAGCAAGAGAACAGCAAATCTATATTTCCTTAAATATAAACTTTTTGTATTCATTTCCCCCCTTTTTCCCCACATCTCTTTGTTCAAGTAGCTACAACAGTAATTAGCAAGTCCAAGTTTAAATCAGCTGGAATGATAGTTTTTTCTTTCATGGTGCTGCAGTGAAGTATCTGTGCTGCTGAATACAGAAAACACCGTGTGTGTTGGATTACTGTGTTGGACCGAAGAGATGAACAATAACATCTGTCACATGTTAGCCTCAGAACAAAGCTGCAGTTTAAGGATGAAAATTGGATGAGCAGGCTCCATGCTTTGTTCCCTGTTTTTGATGTATTTTTGTGGCAGCATTAAAGCGTCAAAGTAATAAGCATTTTGCATCATTATCAAGATCTAAAGATTTTTTTTTCTTTGATACAGTTTATAATTTTCTCTTAGTTGTTATTTCTATCGGTCCTACTTAAAACAGGCCTTTTGGTCAAAGTTCTTGTTTGTCCGGGACACAAATTCACACAAATGTGAAATGAAACAAGTTTAACTTCGGAAAGCATTTTTAAAAATTTGTACTTCCTCTGCTTTTATCTAGACAAGAGTCACAAACTTAGCAAATGTGAACTTAAAAAAATATCTGGGATACTGTAAAACTAGGCTAAACGTGTTTTCTAAAACCACTGCACTGAACATCACTAAACCCTGCTGTCATGGGGGAACAGATTAGACTTTTTGACTCCTTTGTCCTCAGCATGCTGGCTGATATTGATTAGAAGATGTGAAGGACATTTGTCCAATCCACCCTCAGCTGGAAGCATGGAGATAGCTGCCAGGAGAACAGCAAATATTAACAATGACAACGAGGGTGATTGTGATCCTAAATGAGAGATCCATGATTGTTCTTTCACTTCAGTTCAGTTTGTTTATTCATGTCTTTAAAAAACAACAACGTAAATCCAACATATGACAAAAATACAAACCATAAATTACATGAAAGTTAGCAGAAGAAAAAAATCTTATATCTGCCCCTTTTTCTCAAATAAATAAATTCAATCAAAAATAATATTTAGTTTATAAAAAAATAATAACAACACAGGTTGAACTCCTTGAACAACAATTCATACATTTACATATTTCTCCAGCAAATTATTCTTTATCTTTCTCTTAAATATACATATTGATCTGGCATTTTTAATGTCATCTTCCAGATTATTCCATAATCTTATACCCTGGACTGAAGTACTCCGTTCCTTTAAACTGGTTCTAAATTTGGGTTTGACAAACATCTCTATCCCTTTGAGATTATAACAACTCTCTCTTTTAATAAATAATAATAATAATAATAATAATAATAATAATAATAATAATAATAATAATAATAATAATAATAATAATATGTGATTGAATGTTTGAAAGTAATGTGTTATTATGAACCCTATACATAAATGATAAAATACCATAATCAACCAAATCATTGAATTTCAATAACTTTAAMTGACTGAACAATGAATTTGATGGATGATAATAATGCTTTTTGGTGATAATTCTTACAGTTCTTTTCTGTAAAACAAAAATTGGGTTTGTAATTGTTTTACATGCTTTCCCCCAAACATCAATACAGTAGATCACGTGTGGAACAATTATTGCATTATATAATATAAACATAGCCTTATTATTAAATAACTCCTTTACTTTGTTCAATACTGTAATAGATTTTGCTATTTTTGTTCTTAAATGATTTACATGAGGTCTCCATGTCAGCTTTTTGTCCATGATGACTCCCAAAAACTTCACCTCCCTGACTACAGATCTCAATACCATCAACTCTAAATGAAACATCAGCTGTTTTCTTTCTTTTATTAAATATCATATAATTTCTCTTATCTCAATTTAATGATAATTTACTAAGCTTAAACCAGGTTTGTATTTTAGCTAATTCTATGTGCATCATTTCCAACATCCATTCTAAATTTTTACCAAAACAAAAAAAATGTAGTGTCGTCTGCAAAAAAAAAACACATTTGAACAAACCTGACACATTTTCCAAATCATTTACATACAAAATAAACAACTTCGGTCCAAGTATAGAACCCTGAGGAACCCCACATGTAATACTACTTAATTCAGATCTTGTATCATTTATTTGTACAAACTGTTTCCTATCCTTTAAATAACTAGACAACCCACTGTGATGCTGGTCCTCTAATACTGTATTTGTTCAATTTTTCAAGTAGAATGGTGTGGTCAATGGTGTCGAAAGTTTTCTTTAAGTCAACATAAATACTAGCACAGTATTGTTTATGATCAACAGCAGTTGTTATTTGCTCTATGAGTGCCATTGATGTGGAACTGTTAGCTCTAAACTCATACTGACTGCTACTTAATMTGTTTATCGATAAATTGATCTAATCTAGTCACAAATAACTTCTCTAGAATTTTTGAAAACTGTGGTAACAAGAATATTGGTCTGTAATTATTGAACAAACATTTCTCACCATTCTTAAAGAGAGGAATTACTTTGGTTGTTTTTCATATTATCTGGAAAAATATCAGTTGAAAATGATAAATGACACATATGTAAATGGCTCAATAACATAATTCATTATTTCCTTTACAAACAGCATGTCCATGTCCACACAATCTATTGATCTTTTGTCTGCAATATTTTTTACAATATTCATTATATCTTCTTTGTCAGTTCCATCAAGAAAAATACTGTTTGTGCAACCCATGACTGTATGACTCACATTATTATCTACTCATGGTATTTTAGCTGCAAGACTTGGGCCAACATTCACAAAATAATTACAAAATCCGTTTACAATTTCATTCTGATCATGTGTTTCATTTCCATCTTTTACAAAATATTGTGAAAYRTCTGATCTTGCTTTATGGCTCTTTAAGACACTGTTCATTACTCACCATGTTTCTTTCATGTTACCCTTACTTTTGTTTAATAAATCACTGTAATATTCTTTCTTATGTTTTCTTATAATCCATAATAATTTGTTTTTACATTTCTCACGTCTTTCTTCTGATTCTGTTTGTTCTTCATTTCAGGAAGCAGTATTTCTTTCAAGCCAGTGAGATAGGTCATTATTTTCAAAAAGCATATTGTCATCATGTTAGTCAAATAAAGGTCTGTAAGTGATTTAATATTTTTATTACATTATTTGGWAATACAAGCTTACTTAAACAGTCTGTGTAAGCAGACTTCTTCTTCTAGAACCCATTCTTTTATTATCCAGACTTTCATTTTGTTCTTGCCTGACTGAATTATTCAAATTGAGCTTGCAGGAGCATTCTGCAGAAATGTTACTGGTGGTCGATGTGTTGGGTTTGTTCTAAACTGGGACTCTGTCAGAGGAAGTGTGAGTAAGGCCAGCAGAGTCACATCCATCTCTCTCCTTTCTGCTTTTTAGAATTGCAGATCCAGTGTTRTGAGACGTGGCACCTGGCTACACCTGATAGGCTCTAATAGGATTATAGTGCGTTGGTGTACACATCCACATCCATTTGCATGGAAGCACGCCTCGCTGCGCACTATTACACACCACCCTGCTTTTTCAGCAGTTTGCAAAGAAAGCTATGCTGACGTTTTAAAGAGGAGAGAAGATGATACCACAGAAACCTGGAGACAATCAGCTGCCCGCCCACAAGGAGCCAAAGGCAGCTCAGTGCACCATCCATTGAGTGGCTTCAGATTGATTTTAATTTAGCTTTAGATTAGAGCTTGCTTTAAAAAGTTTAGGTTTTATTTTGTTATGTTTAGATAGAAAAATATATCTGACTAAAGGTGAAAACGGCTTTAATTTTTTTTCTCTGTCTTTTAGTTAAAACCTCCCAGACCAGAGTTCAGCACAAAGAGGATCATATTTGACACACTTTCTTTGAAACACAAATAAAGCATTAACCATGCTAAATAAATTATATTCATATATAGAGTACCCCTTTAATGTCAAAATGGCCAAATGTTTAAAATTCTTAACACAGTCTCTTTTAATTCATCCYTTTCTTTTTACTACATAGTCAAAAACACGGTCAAAATCCTGTTTAAAAGCATCTCTCTCTTTTTCTGCCAGAACACATTTTCTAAATATTCGACATTTCTCTAAATGATTTTTGTCTTTTGTCTTTTAATTTACTTTTTTGTTTTTGTAAACAAAAACAAAACAAAAAGACAATAGTATTATCTGTGATTAAAAGCTAAACTAAATAGCTGAAGTTAAGCCAAAGCAGCAAAAATTATTTGTGTGTAGATGATGAAAAAGTTTTTACTGTAACCTTTAGAGCACATTTGTCAAACTCAAACTCAAGGCCTGCGGGCCAAATCTGTCCTGCAATGGCATTTTATGCGGCCCGCAAGAGCTTCAAAGATGTATTGTTTTAAAATAAGCATATGCTGACTTAAAGCCAGCATTGACGATAAACTACATCTCCCATAATGCATGTTGATTATTTTACCCGCAGATGATGACATCCCACCACTAGGTGGAGTTGTACAGGGTTTAAGCAGGTATAAGCAGATTTGCACATAAGTGGTGCGGAGGTGCGCGATCAAAAAAGAAAAAGCGCTCCAGGTGGAATGTCATAAAGCTCCCTTGCGTACCTAAGATTGTACCTGAGATTGTGAAAACAACAGCTAGCAGGGTCGCAAATGTGACCTGATTTCTTAAATAAATAAATAAATATAAAATAAAAAATCCAGCCTCACTGGTGCGACTGGATCGTCGTTCTGTGAGAGGAGGGCAGCGGAGCCTTGATGTATGAGGATTAAACAGACACTGCTTTCAACGAATCAGACGAACTCCAGAGCCATTTTATCCAATCAGAGCAGAGCAGGGCGGGACTTTCAGTCAGAGCAGTTTTCAGCAGAGAAACTGCAGGCTGAAGCAGCAATCAGTCCTGACATCTCCTCCTGCACTTTGCTCCTGAACTACCAGAAACTTTGGTCTCTAAAACCTAACTTTATATTAAACATATGTTCAGAGTGTTGCTATCGAACAGATCTGTCCAACTTTGCCTCAGTGACTAAACTCTCCTCCTGAGATGGGAACGCGCCTCAGGACACTCAGGCTGTGAGTCTTTCTGTGAGATTTACTGTTCCTCTAAACCATATTACCTCTAACAGAAGAACATTTATTTGCCCCATATCAAAGCAAAGATKAGTCTCTGTTTAACGTCACCCCCCCTACAAAATATTAAAATAAAAACTTGCCATGTTCTCTAGGTGAATGAGTTTTAAATGTTATTTTAATTTATCAGAAAGATCCACAAATTTCATTCTTCACAATTTTATGAAAACAACAAGGTTCTTGATGTGCTAAACATGTTTATATTTAGAATCATACTGTGACACAGCTGCTGTGGGATAAATGTAATTCAACAAATGATAAAATATGAACAATAATTTTAACGATTACATGAGCTGAAACCATCTGAATATAATCATTTTGAATAAAATAGTCTTTTAAAAAAGAAACCAGCCTAACAAATAAAACATTTGTTCTGTGAAAAAGACAGATATTTGCTGCTTGGTCTGGAGAGTGTGGAAAGCTGGTTTAAACAAGACCAAAGATCTGGAAGGCCAAACTACAGGAGCTGTACATCTCAGGGTCATGTGTAATCTAACACACATTTAAATGTTCCGTTTCAGAAGACATATGCCCATTGGCCACTTAGGAAGTTCACAAAATGTTTGCAAAAATAAATAAATAAATAATTAAATAAATAAATAAAATCTCTGGCATGATGTCCTGAGACATTGCCAGCTGATAGAAGGCATCATAAAACAGAACAGGGTGATATTAGATGCCCTGACACCCCTCTAGATAAATGTGTTAAATGAGTGAAGGAAAATTTGAGCACCAAGCAACAACCCCAGGTTCTCCCCTGAGAACCAGACCAAAAGTTTTATGTGCAACGCTGATTATAAGGTCATTACATTATTATAGTAGAAGGGGGTTGTCAATGTTTGGCAGAGTCTCTGCTTTAGAGCAGGGCTCCTGTGTTTTGTTTTGGTTCAGCCCAAGGTCTTACTGACGGCTGCGTGCTGAGTGCTGTACTGTGAACCTGATTGGAGTCAGAAGATTGAAAATAAAATTTAAAGAAGAAATCCAGCTGATTCCTGTTTATTCAGACATACCATTTTGAATAACGCATTTTTCCAACGTAGAACTCAGGTATTGTTTGTTAGCGGGGCTCAGCCTGAGATGAGGAACGTAACGTTTCATGTTTGATCCAAGTAAAACATGAAATGTTGAAGTTAATTATAAATGACCCTTTGAGGGCCACCATGATAATGCGGCCCTCCRTGAAAATGAGTTAGACACCCCTGATCTAGAGGGACTTAGTGTGAATTAGCTTAAGTTAAGCTAAAGTTATAAAGTTTACCCAAAGTGACAAGTTTTACATATTAAATCTTTATAACTATAGGAAATAAACTAAACTTTCTTGAAGGAGTTAAAAAGGATCAATTATGTATTAAAATAATATTTAATAAAATATATCAAATTGACATATGTAATATAATGGTGAAGGAATTTATCGGTTAGATACTGATGCTAAAAGCACTACACTATTTTCTTAGTTTTCCTTTTAAGTATTAACTTTTATAATCCATTGTTTAACTTTTGTTAACTCCTGATTAAAATAGTTTAGGTACATGCCTGAAACATCATCAACACATCGAAAAAAAAACGTTGTTAATTCATTAGGAAAGGCATTGTTTGTTCGAGTGGCCTGCGATGCAGCCGTAGGCCTGTAGTGGGCGCTCCAGGCACTGAAGACTCTATATAAAAGGACGGGAAGTTCCGGGTTTCAGGCAGCGTTGCTCTGATTGTTTCAACATAAGCAATAAAGCTTCGCTCATAACCAAATCTGGGGCTGTATGGTTTCCATTCYCTTCACATTTTAATCTATTCAATATATACTGTATTTGGTTTTGTCACGATTTCAGTTAACGAACATGAAATATTCTTACAATGGAGTTAAACTACCGGAGTGTTGTTATATTTCATTGTACTACTTGTTTGATGAGGCAGGCTTTTATATTAGTAACTTTTTAATCAAACAATTTGTTTCATAACACTGATCACTGCCTTACTCACATCTTTTGTTTTCTCCTATGATCAGATTTCCCTCAGAGGTTGACTGGTGCTTTCTGTAAACTGTGATGTACCGTATTTTGAGATAACTGTTTCCTTTTACTTAATCTTTCCATGCATCACCCTAAAGATGCAGTAAATTTTCTCCCCCTGTCTCCCAGCATGCAGTGCAATTGCTGGGTGAATCTGCATGATGGGATTTATATAAGGATCTAAAAGTCAAGGTCAGACGTTCTGTCTTTTATTCCCAGCAGCTCCCACCTACTCACTCCTTCTCTATGTCGATTATTTAGTCACTTCTTTTTCTTCATTTGTGTCTGTTTGCTGCTGCTCTTACCGTCAGTCTATCAGTTTCACTTCCTGACATGAGCACTGCTAGTGTAAATACAAATTTACAGCGATTAGTAGTGTTTGTGCGCAGGCACACGTTTTCTTTTGTGCTGACGTCTGTTCATTTCCTGTATAGAGCCATCAYTCAGCTGAGTCATTGTTTAGTCAGTGACAGCACTTAGAAAAACAAACACTTAGATCAGAACATTAAAAGTAAATGTTGATTGTAGACTCACTGGTTTTCTTTATCAGAAAGAGRATCATCATCACCTACTTTACTGCCATCAGCAAATTTTATGTAAAGACTCTTTAGGTTGAAGTAATAAAAACTTTAATCCATGTCCTGAAAACCACCAAAAATAAGAAACATATTGTTTGACTTCCATGTTTGTTTTCGTAAATATGAAGTGTCATGATTTGTGTATTTTGGTTACATTTAATGGTTCTTTGTGTTTTCGATCAGGCTTAGTTCCCCCTTTTGGTCATTATGTTTAGTTTCTATATCTTGTGATTCTTGTGTTGTTTTATTTTTGTCATTTTTAATTTCCTCTGTGTTTATTTGCGCCATCATTCACCTGCCCTCAGTTAATTGTCAGCTTGCCACACCCACTTCACCTGTTCCTCACTCCTCATTGGTCTCATCTGCTGTCAATCTCCCATTCCTCCTTAGTATGA